CTTCTCCTTACGAACGTGACCCCGACACTCTAAGGGGATATGTTATGTCGGATGGACCCATTATCCTACAACTTATTGATCTGTTTCCTCAGTTCTTTCATCTCGACACGACTCATTCGGTATGGAGTAACCGAGATGGGTTGGGTGCTAAGCTGAAGATTTATGAAAAATTTGACTTCTCGATCTACTAGCAGCCTTAGTAGTTCATAAGGAAATATGTCTAAAATATCTCGGACAGCAAAAATATATTGAATGCAAATATCTTTCTTAGGTTTGCCTAATGTGAAAAGAATAGTTGAGTTAAAGACATTTGATGAATAATGGAGTTACCACGTATAAACAATACCTAAATTTTTTATTAATTCATGAAAGACTCTTCGTTAGGAATATTGAATACAAGCTTCTTATGAAAATAGTCTACAGTAGCATGATATGACGCTAACCAGTTTATTTCCATAATTATATCAAAATTCCAAATGTCTAGTGTTATCAGATCTACGCTCAATTCTCTACATGCTATTTTTAATAAACGAGCTTTGTATATAACATTTCTCAATGTCCCGTTTTCATGTGTGGACACAAATAGTACAAAATTAAGACTTTAATGTAACACATTTAAATTTTTAGTAAAAACATGTGAAACAAAAAGAATATAAAGCACTAGTATAAATTAAAATATGTGCAAGGTGGTTGCAGGTAGTACACGTACCCTGTATTACATCTGGATTGGTTTCAGCATCCTGCTGGGTGAGTGTATAGATTATGCCTTGAACTGCTAGTTTAGTATGATTCTGATTTCGCAGACACTCTCTCGCGTAGTGTTGAACACTCCCGTATATGTAGCAGATGTTATTAAGGTGATAGTAATGTCGGTCTTTATGATCCTTACCACAGTACCGGCAAACCTTACCACGTCCTTTTACCGAGGCCTAAGAAGGAGCTTGAGTTGCAGGCCTTCGTCTCTTGTTCTGCTGGTTCGTTGCAGTAAGTGCTGGTCTGTGATGCGAAACTGGGGGCTTG